CCCCCCTGTATGTTGTGCAGGGGGGTCTCTCCACACACAACGGGTAACCACACCACAGAGGGTACATTTTTGGTTTTATACTTTTCCCTATTCCCGGCCACAAAGGTTCCCTGGCATCAGGCCCAGACAGAACCTTCCACCTTACAGCTTTTACGATACACCTAAAAAACCCCTTGGAATTAAATGAAAAAAAAAGAAAACCCCACCCCTTTCTGTTTTCCACTAAATTCATTTGCTTATAATAAAACCAGATTATTTATTTCTCATAAATCTCTACATGTCAGTCCTGACCAGCCCTTTGAAAGGAAGCTGTGCTGGACTACAGTGGAGGCTGCCCCAAGGACTCACCCTCTGCCACTGGCAACAATTGAACAGCAGCTGGTGGTGGTGAAATTGTGGAGGGACAGACGTTCCAAGGTCTTCAAGGCTGGCTCTCCCACTCTGCCACCCCACCATGGAAGAGGCAGATGAGAACATAGAACTGACTTGGGAGTATCCTGGGAAGATGTAACATGACCATGTGCCTAAGCCTCTGAACAGGATGCTAAGATTAAACCTGTTGCTGTTGTGGAAAGAGCTAGGGGAAAAGCTTTGGGTTTCTTTTTACATTTAAGCTTGAACATGGTGGCTGTAGCAATACAGCTCTGTGTTTCCACCCCAAACTTCAATGCTGAGGCAGGAGCGGGTTTGTTGGGAGGCTCCTGCCAGCACAAGGCTCCACATGGTGCCTGGGGGGCTCCAGCTGACCTGTGGTAGGTGCTTCCTCTTCTGGGGTCAGCCACCACAGGGGTCGGACCAGCTGTCTCTGTGGCCAGGAAGGGGCAGAGCTGTGGCTGATCTGGAGATGGGCATCTCCTGAGAAGCTCAGGCAGGGACTGATTGTCCCAAGCCCAGCTGAAGTGGGACCCTGGGCCAGTGGGCAGAGGCATGGGGAGACCCCAGGTAGGCTGGGCAGCGGCAGTGATGTCAACCATGTGCAGAGTGTAGACAGTGTTGCTCTAAAGAGTTCAATTCTTTACGGAAATGCGCTGAACAAAGCAAACTATGTAAAACCATGGTCAGTTTTCATGTGTCTCCTGCTCACTGTGATTTCTTTTCTCTTTTACAGCTCCCCATCTGTGGTCAGCGGTTCTGCTGGGCTTGGCTATAGGCTTTGGGATATTGAGCACCTCCCTAGTGATTGCTTTGATTTGGAAGATGAGTAAGTGCACAAGGCATTACTGAGAATGAGCAACAAAAGCAAAGGACTGGAGACTCATCTAAGTACTCCATTATACGGGGTTAAACCAGAAGCTATTCTAAGTTTCTACCAGCCTTATGTACCCACTGCCTATCCAGAATATTTTGAAGAATATATTCCTTGTGCAGACCCCAGGCAACCCATTTCAAATCCTGTGGCAAAGAACAGTGAAACATATTGTAAGGTTTTTGTAGACTTGCCAGCTGTAAGTACAGTGTTAAACTGTAGAACAAATGTGTAAGGTCTGTTACACTTCTGCATGCATGCAGAAGGTACTAGACCATGTGGAGGAGCCTACTGTTGTCTGCT